TTTTTTTCATTCTGTTGTTTATAGGTCAACCTTAAAACCCCAAAGGTGGCGCCACTGCATTTGGTCGGGGCTACACGGTCCCTATTTTTTCCTAGCAAGAGGTTTTTGGGTTTACGTGTCCGGCTTTGGCGCATGTAGGACGTTACTTGATGTATCTCTTATCCACTTTGTTGTAAGCTTATTGTCGCAAATAAAACATATCTTGGGCCTGGCTGACCAACGCGCCCATGCCTCAACCTTTCAGTGTGTTCGGTTGTGTAGTGAAGGCAAAATTTTACGAATGCGTGACTCCCACCGTCAATGTCACGCTATATCTCAGGCACGTCTGGCGTGCCAAGGATATGGCAAGAATTGGAAAGGTAGGCTACGGTTTCCAGCGCAATTTTCGCCATTAGTCAGCTACCATCAGTTAGTCAGCCCCATCCCGTTCCTCGAAATTTAAGCAACAGCATTAGGTCACTGGAAAAACTGATCTCTGCCTGTTGTTTCGTGCCCATGTTACGGCAGTCGGAAGTTTTAGCCTGTGAACAGGTTCTCTAGTCGAGTACACCCCATTCCCCCTCAGCCACTTCACTCTCACCCAGTTCTTTCTCGGCCCTTCCAGCTGCGGTCAGACCCTTCCAGCTGGAGCCTGTGAACAGGCTATTCAGGTTTAGGTTGGAAATACGAAGAAGTTGCATGTAATTTTGGGTAATATGTTTTCAGTTGAAAATGTATCACGGTTTTGGGCTGAACGCGAAGACCCAGAGCTCAGTCCAGACATTTCGGAATTTTTTTTTTTAATTTTAATGGTTTTAATTTATATACACAACCACATCAGCTCTGCTGTAATTTTTATCGTGTTTAAATAAATGCTATTATCATTATCATATTCGATACAATGGACCTATATTATGGAATGAAACTGATGAGAGATTTAAGATTCTAACTCCCTATTCATTCAAAAGAGAATTACCTTCGCATTTCATTAATTTCTATTAAGTTTTACTACTAATTGCTACATTTTGGTGTTTCTGTTATTATTTTTTTTAATATTATTTACTTCTTATTGTATACATGTTTAAGAATTATTTGTTCTGTAATCTATTTCCTTAATGAAGTGTGTAAAATGTAAAATGTAAAATGCCTCTTTTCTGACCTTATATTTATTTTAAATTAATAAATGGTGGTCACCCAACTAGTTTAGCTCTTTAGTTATTTTGAGTGACCAGCAACTGTATGTATTTTTAATTTATTTATTAATTAGTAATTAAGTTAATTTTACA